GAGACTTCCGCATGGTGGGCAGCGACAAAATCTGGGAGAAAAGCCTCAGAGCGGCTCTCGGACCGCTGTGCTTTTTATAGCATTCTCCACACTCCCACTGAGAGACGGCACTTCAGGGAAAATCTGACATTGCTGTAGAGTTTATTCCTCATACAGTGGCTTGACTGACTGTTGAATTGTTTATTGAACATTGATTCGTATTGATGTTTAGACCATTTAATCTCTTCTGTGTTTTTCTGCCTCTTCTGTTTCTCTGCTGACTCTTTTCTGCCTCTTCTGTCTCCCCTGATTCTTTTTTGCCTCTTCTGTGTTTCCGCTTACACTTTTCTGCCTCTTCTGTTTCTCTGTTGACTCTTTTCTGCCTCTTGTCTCCCCTGTCTCTTTTCTGCCTCTTCTGTGTGTCTGCTCACTCTTTTCTGCCTCTTCTGTGTTTCCCCTGACTCTTTTCTGCCTCTTCTGTGTCTCTGCTGACTCTTTTTTGCCTCTTCTGTGTGTCTGCTCACTCTTTTCTGCCTCTTCTGTGTTTCTGCTTACACTTTTCTGCCTCTTCTGTTTCTCTGTTGACTCTTTTCTGCCTCTTGTCTCCCCTGTCTCTTTTCTGCCTCTTCTGTGTCTCTGCTGACTCTTTTCTGCCTCTTCTGTGTTACCCCTGACTCTTTTCTGCTTCTTCTGTGTTACCCCTGACTCTTTTCTGCCTCTTCTGTGTCTCTGCTGACTCTTTTTTGCCTCTTCTGTGTGTCTGCTCACTCTTTTCTGCCTCTTCTGTGTTTCTCCTGACTCTTTTCTGCCTCTTCTGTGTCTTTGCTGACTCTTTTCTGCCTCTTCTGTCTCCGCTGACTCTTTTCTGCCTCTTCTGTGTTTCTCCTGACTCTTTTCTGCCTCTTCTGTGTCTCTGCTCACTCTTTTCTGCCTCTTCTGTGTTTCTCCTGACTCTTTTCTGCCTCTTCTGTGTTTCACCTGACTCTTTTCTGCCTCTTCTGTGTCTCTGCTCACTCTTTTCTGCCTATTGTGTTTCTCCTGACTCTTTTCTGCCTCTTCTGTGTCTCTGCTCACTCTTTTCTGCCTCTTCTGTGTCTCTGCTGACTCTTTTTTGCCTCTTCTGTCTCTGCTCACTCTTTTCTGCCTCTTCTGTGTTTCTTCTGACTCTTTTCTGCCTCTTCTGTGTCTCTGCTGACTCTTTTTTGCCTCTTCTGTCTCTGCTGACTCTTTTCTGCCTCTTCTGTGTCTCCCCTGACTCTTTTCTGCCTCTTCTGTGTCTCCACTCACTCTTTTCTGCCTCTTCTGTATCTTCAGCTCATATAATGGCTGACTGATTGTTTGGTTGATTTTTTTTTAGACCATTATGGATTTTTTATAAAACAGCATTATGAACACCTTTTCATCATAATATGAAGTGAGAAATATTCAGGGAGAACACATAAAAGCTTGAAGGCTTAGTTCCAGTGTGGCTTCCCCTTCATGCTGCAAAAGGCCACAAGGTGGCGCAAGACAAGATCAGAGAGAAATCTGTGTCGTGTAGTTTCTCCTGTAGAATTCAGTTCGTCTCACTGATGATTTGAAGTGAAAGTGTCCTTTTGCATTTATGGTTGAGTTTATTGCTGTACAGAAGCAGTTATTCAGCCTGTTGTCAGCTTGTTGATGTCATTTTTAAATGTTTATATATGTGTTTCTTGGCTTTTGTGTATTTATCCAAAAAGAGTCATTTGATGATTTTGAAATTTAAAAATTGTTTTCTATCAAAGGTTTGATTATGATTAAAAATTGTTTGCGAGTCTGAAAAAATTGACCTTTCTATGAATAAAATAAACCAAATCCAATCTCCCTCAGCCAATCAGAGCAGCCACTGTAAACACCATCAGCTCAAACACACGAGCTTTTATGATTTAATAATCAGACATAACATTATGACATTATGATTATCCTTGTTTCTACACTCATTGTCCATTTTATCAGCTCCACTTACTATATAGGTGCACTTTGTAGTTCTACAGTTACAGACTGTAGTCCATCTGTTTCTCTGATACTTTGTTAGCCCCCTTTTACCCTGTTCTTCAGTGGTCAGGACCCCCATGGACCCTCACAGAGCAGGTACTATTTGGGTGGTGGATCATTCTCAGCACTGCAGTAACACTGACGTGGTGGTGGTGTGTTAGAGTGTGTTGTGCTGGTCTGAGTGGATCAAACACAGCAGTGCTGCTGGAGTTTTTAAACACTGTGTCCACTCACTGTCCACTCTATTAGACACTCCTACCACGTCAGTCCACCTTGTAGATGTAAAGTCAGAGACGATAGCTCATCTGCTGCTGCACAGTTTGTGTTGGTCATCCTCTAGTCCTTCATCAGTGGTCACAGGACGCTGCCCACAGGACGCTGTTGGATGGATGTTTTTGGTTGGTGGACGATTCTCAGTCCAGCAGTGACACTGAGGTGTTTAAAAACTCCAGTAGCACTGCTGTGTCTGATCCACTCGTACCAGCACAACACACACTAACACACCACCACCACGTCAGTGTTACTGCAGTGCTGAGAATGATCCACCACCCAAATAGTACCTGCTCTGTGAGGGTCCATGGGGGTCCTGACCACTGAAGAACAGGGTCATAATGTTATGTCTGATCGGTGTATATGTACATGTGCAAAAGTTTGATCACCCCTGGTGGTCAAATGATCAAAGTCCACATTATGTTGATTATTAAATCATAAAATATAAAATGTTGCACAGGACACATTTTATGCTTTGTCTTATATGAAAAGCTATAGATAGATAGATAGATAGAAATAGTCATTTAAGTTTTTGTAATACCAAAATGATGCAACCCTCATTGCTCTTGGGTGGTATAAATATACTTGCTAAAAAATGTGATAATAAACATATTCAGAATATTCTTCAACAAAGAAACTGAATTTCCGCTAGGGGCAGGTTCAGTTGAGTGGCTTTTGCCTCATAAATACTGCATGTCCAATCCTTACATCGTACAGTACGACGACGTCTTAGGGCCACTGTTAATAAAAATAAAAACAGTAGACTTTGAGAAAAAAGTCGTAATATTTGGAGAAAAAAGTCTTAATATTTCGAGAAAAAAGTCTTAATATTTTGAGAAAAAAGTCTTAATATTTAGAGAAAAAAGGCGTAATATTTCGAGAATAAAGCCTTAATATTTTGAGAAAACAATCGTAATATTTGGAGAAAAAAGTCTTAATATTTAAAGAAAAAAGTCTTAATATTTGGAGAAAAAAGTCTTAATATTTTGAGAAAAAAGTCGTAATATTTGGAGAAAAAAGTCTTAATATTTAGAGAAAAAAGTCGTAATATTTTGACAAAAAAGTCGTAATATTTGGAGAAAAAAGTCTTAATATTTAAAGAAAAAAGTCTTAATATTTGGAGAAAAAAGTCTTAATATTTAGAGAAAAAAGTCGTAATATTTTGAGAAAAAAGTCTTAATATTTAGAGAAAAAAGTCGTAATATTTTGACAAAAAAAGTCGTAATATTTGGAGAAAAAAGTCTTAATATTTTGAGAAAAAAGTCGTAATATTTGGAGAAAAAAGTCGTAATATTTGGAGAAAAAAGTCTTAATATTTTGAGAAAAAAGTCGTAATATTTGGAGAAAAAAGTCTTAATATTTAGAGAAAAAAGTCGTAATATTTTGAGAAAAAAGTCTTAATATTTGGAGAAAAAAGTCTTAATATTTAAAGAAAAAAGTCGTAATATTTGGAGAAAAAAGTCTTAATATTTAGAGAAAAAAGTTGTAATATTTGGAGAAAAAAGTCTTAATATTTCGAGAATAAAGTCGTAATATTTTGAGAAAAAAGTCGTAATATTTGGAGAAAAAAGTCGTAATATTTAGAGAAAAAAGTCGTAATATTTTGAGAAAAAAGTCTTAATATTTCGAGAAAAAAGTCTTAATATTTTGAGAAAAAAGTCTTAATATTTCGAGAATAAAGCCTTAATATTTAGAGAAAAAAGTCGTAATATTTTGAGAAAAAAGTCTTAATATTTGGAGAAAAAAGTCTTAATATTTAGAGAAAAAAAGTTGTAATATTTGGAGAAAAAAGTCTTAATATTTAAAGAAAAAAGTCGTAATATTTCGAGAATAAAGCCTTAATATTTCGAGAATAAAGTCGTATTATTTCAAGAATAAAGCCTTAATATTTTGAGAATAAAGTCGTAATATTTCAAGAATAAAGCCTTAATATTTTGAGAAAAAAGTCGTAATATTTCGAGAATAAAGTCGTAATATTTCAAGAATAAAGCCTTAATATTTCGAGAATCAAGTCGTAATATTTCAAGAATAAAGCCTTAATATTTCGAGAATAAAGTCGTAATATTTCAAGAATAAAGCCTTAATATTTCGAGAATAAAGTCGTAATATTTCAAGAATAAAGTCGGTTCTTATCCTAATAACAGGCTGGTGCTGATGTGCAGGAGAGACAGGGAGGCTGAGTGTTTCTTTATGGGTGAATCGATATGAAAGTAGAACTCCACCAACTCACCGCCCCTCATTTAACACGAGGAGGCGCTGCTTCACTTCACAAAGCCTTTGGCCACAATATCGACCTTTCCTGGTATTAATGCCACTTTAATGTCGTAATTCTACGCCTTTTTTCTCGACGTCTGCTGTCTTTATTTTTATTAACAGTGGCCCTAAAACCCCGCCGCAGTACAGAAACTAAGAAAAGCGACAGATCTTTGAACTGATTAGCCGGCTTTCCTGCTTTGATCTCAGGCTGTCTGATGGTGTGCTGGTGACGGCTGGACATTTGTAAAATTCTTTGTATACAATAAAAAAACAAGCTGGGTGAGCACTGTTGAATACTGATTGGCTCTGCGCATGTCACAGAGCCTTCCCTACCTCAGCCAATCAGAGCGGCCGGTGTAAACGTCACCAGAGATTCTCTAATATAGCTCCGCCCACACGGCAGCTTTTCTTCCTCATCATGAGATGAGAATCTTCCTCAAACCTGCGCGCTTCAGCGTCCGGCGGTGACCCGCGCGCAGACCCCGACAGCTCGGACAGCAGGAGCGGCGGACAGGTCAGTTTAATCAGCTCAATCAGAAAAAACGGTTTATTAGAAAGAGAGAGAGAGAGACACTCACACACACACACTCACTCACACACTCTCTCTCTCTCTCTCACACACACACACACACACACACACTCACACACAGAGCGGTCACTCTGTTACTTCCTCCCGCTCAGCTCAGCTGTGTGTCTCTGAGACCCGGAGCAGCCTGGTTTTCGGTCTTAAGCGGAGTTCCGTAACTGAAGCGGTCAGTTCTTGAGGAGCTGCTGCAGGTGAAGCAGACTCCGCTCCTCCGCTCCTCTCAGGTGTTTCTCACCTGTTACGGTGACATTCAGCAGCTCTCCTCACTCTTTCCTGCCTCTCTAAGGTTCTTTAGCAAAGGAAGCGGTTCTCTTTAGAACCATGAGCTCTACGTAGAACCATTTGCATGCTTAAATGGTTCTATTCAGCAGCTGCTCACTCTTGCCTGCCTCTCTAGGGTTCTTTAGCAAAGGGAGCGGTTCTCTTTAGAACCATGAGCTCTACGTAGACCCATTTGCATGCTTAAATGGTTCTATTCAGCAGCTCTGCTCACTCTTTCCTGCCTCTCTAGGGTTCTTTAGCAAAGGGAGCGGTTCTCTTTAGAACCATGAGCTCTACGTAGACCCATTTGCATGCTTAAATGGTTCTATTCAGCAGCTCTGCTCACTCTTTCCTGCCTGTCTAAGGTTCTTTAGCAAAGAGAGCGGTTCTGTTTAGAACCATGAGCTCCATACAGAACCACTTGCATGCTTAAATGGTTCTTTGCGTTCTTTGAGATTGATGGAGAATATGATGTATATGTTGTATATGATGGTTCTAAATTTTGAAAATGGTTCTATATAGCACCAAAAAGGGTTTTAATATTGTACACAAGGATTACCGTAGCAAATGCAGAACACTTTTTGATGTTATATGGTACCCTTTTCGAAAGGGATCAGCATAGAACTATATAGAACTCATGGTTCTTAATAGAACCATTCTAAAGAGTGTTAGTGTTAGTAGATGGTGAAGACAGTGGTTGGATATATTTTCAGTGTCTTTACACTGAAATAAACAGTGTTTTGATTCAAATGTGTCAGTTGCACATAAATAATAGTCATATTAACAATAATAATAAGAAGAAGAAAAAGAATGAAGCATTTACCAAATAAAAAGAGTTAAACCAACCCAAGTCTTCCCGATGGAAGTGAACAGGAAGACTGCAGTTGTGCTGATGTAGCACATTTTATTCATGTGAAACCAATTGACGCAGTTGAATCACGACTCAGTGTAGGGTTTAAGTGGAACACGATCAGCTGACAGTGTTTATTTCCTCAGCAGGAAAATGGAGGATGAGGATGATGAAGGCAGGAAGATGGAGGATGAGGATGATGAAGGCAGGAAGATGGAGGACAAAAATGAAGGCCGATGCACTCGGAGAGGCTTCCACAAAGCGACTCGCTCCAAAGAGCCGCACAGCAAAGACGCCCAGAGCGACCGATACGACACCAACTGTAAAGGTAAACTACACCAAACTACATCTGACTATCAGTAAAGGTAAACTACACCAAACTACATCTCAACAACAGTAAAGCCAAACTACATCTGATTAAGAGTAAAGGTAAACTACACCAAACTACATCTGACTATCATTAAAGGTAAACTACACCAAACTACATCTGAACTGCATCTGACCAACAGTAAAGCTAAACTACATCTGACTATCATTAAAGGTAAACTACACCAAACTACATCTGACCAACACTAAAGCTAAACTACATCTGATTAACAGTAAAGCTAAACTACACTAAACTACATCTGTCTATCAGTAAAGGTAAGCTACACCAAACTACATCTGACTAACATTAAAGGTAAACTACACCAAACTACATCTGTCTATCAGTAAAGGTAAGCTACACCAAACTACATCTGACTAACATTAAAGGTAAACTACACTAAACTACATCTGTCTATCAGTAAAGGTAAGCTACACCAAACTACATCTGACTAACATTAAAGGTAAACTACACTAAACTACATCTGAATATCAGTAAAGGTAAACTATACCAAATTACATCTGACTAACATTAAAGGTAAACTACACTAAACTACATCTGTCTATCAGTAAAGGTAAGCTACACCAAACTACATCTGACTAACATTAAAGGTAAACTACACTAAACTACATCTGTCTATCAGTAAAGGAGCTACACCAAACTACATCTGACTAACATTAAAGGTAAACTACACTAAACTACATCTGAATATCAGTAAAGGTAAGCTACACCAAATTACATCTGACAGTAAAGGTAAACTACATCTGATCAATGGTAAAACTAAACTACACCAGTGGTAAAACTTCACTGCTCCAAACTACAGCTGACCAACAGTAAACTGCACCAAACTACATCTGACTAAACACTAAAGGTAGACCACCAAACTACACCAAACTAAAGCTGAACAACAATAAAAGTACACTACACCAAACACCCATAAAAATACACACCAGGGGCAAAGCTAACCTTTACCAAACTACACCAGTAGCCTTAAAACTACTGTACACAGGCAGCGGTCAAGCAAAATTCCACACCGACAGTGGTAGAGCTAAACTACACCGAACTACACCAGTATTGGCCTGTATTTCTGATTTTTATTCTAGGTCCAGGCAGGTTTATGGTTATGACCATCATATGGTTATGATGCAGTTTGTGAGGCTGTTGTATGAATTTGCTGTGTTGGGTTGTTATTTTTAATCACATTCTGTCGCTGAAACGGCTCTTAGTTCCTCAGACTAAAGGGTTCAGCGCATGTTTTGTCTTCCAATTGAACCTGGTTCTCTATTTCCTCCTGATACTGTAATAAACCTTCATACCTCAGTAACGACTAGCTGAGTTATAATATCCCTGTTTTCTGCTCTGTGCTTGTGGTGAAGGTCCAGTCTATCTGACTGATCTGCCACAACAGCAGCTATTTAACCACCCTTAAACACACTGAGCTGTGAGTGAGATTCAGCAGATCTTTCCCAGAAGTTCTTTACTGTCGAGGTCATAAACCATCTGCCTGTGTTGGTACTGTAACAAATGTAAATATTTGATTTGTATTGTACTGACTGGTTGACTCAGAGAGTGGTCAAATATTAATCATATGGTAACCTAGCAACAGCATTGCTTCTATTTGTAGTTATGTCATTGCAGATTTAGTGACCACTGTTTATTTTAGAACAGAACATACTGGAATGATTTGTATTATGCTGAAAAAAATGTTTTATTTACTGATCTTTTGGTTTTTTCTTTAGGAAACACAGAGCTGGAACATGTTCTTCAGAAAAAGCTGCTGCTGAGGAGAAAAGCTGAGGTGAGCCCACTTACCTTGTTTGACCTAATAGTTCTGGTCAAAGCGTTACATGGTACAGGCCAGAGCGTTAGATGGCTATGATCAGAGTGATAGATGCTTCATGTGAGAGTGATACATGGTTCTGGTGTGTCGCATGGTGCAGGCCTGAGTTTTACATAGTTCAGATCAGAACATTAGATGGTTCAAATCAGAGCTTTACGTGGATACAGATCAGCGCATTACATAGTTCAGGTCAGAGCATTACGTGGTACAGCGTGTTACATGGTAGAGGCCTGAGTGTTGCATGGTACAGACTTGAGTGTTACGTTACAGAGCATTATATGGTACAGAGTGTTAGATGGTACAGGTCAGAGCGCTACATGGTACAGTTCAGAGTGTTAGGCCCAATCCCATTTCACCCCTTTCCCCTACCACTCAGCCCTCAGCCCTCTGTTTTGCACGTTCACATCTAGGGTGTCCCGATTCTTGTTGAGAGAGAGGGGTAGGGTGAAGTGTTTGGGCTACATGACCCTCCAAACGGAGGTTTTTCAGAGACTCCAAACAGAGAGTTATGAGAAAAAAAGAAAAACCAGTAAGACGGCTGAACAAGAGACCAAAGAAACCCACAAATGAGAGAATTTTCAGTGTATTATGGTCGTTTTCTTCATAACAAGCACAAAATAAATCGCTAATAGCATGCTGATGTCTCGGTAGCTATCTAGCTAAATTTCCCGTTCCACCTTAAATAGTCCAGCAGTTCTGATGCCTGAAGCGCCAGAATGTAAGGGCTGCACCATTTAAGGTGGAACGGTAAAATTCGATCAAGAAGCTGGTGAATATCTGACTTCAGCTTCATATCACTGAAGAATTAGGGGTGGGCGATAATAAATAATCACCCCCCTCTTTGAAGATCATATGATGCCCTAAATGTAACTAAAGCCCAGCAGTGAGGAGCTGAACTTTACCCTCCTCTGCTGTCACTGCAGACTGGCAGGGTCGCCTACAGAGCAGCGCTGGTAGCTGTTAATGAAGTAATGCTCTTTATTCGAGGGTCCCATTTCAGAGGAAGATTTCAACCATTACTGCTGTAACTCAGTTCCAAGGCACTAGGGTGACACTCGAAAACAAGGGTCAGGGGTGAAAAGAAGAAATGGGACTGGGCCTTACATGGTACAGCCCAGAGCTTCACATGGCAAAGGCCTGAGTGCTACATGGTACAGAGCATTATATGGTACGGGTTAGAGTGTTAAATTGTTATGAATTAAGGGTAGAACGTACATGCTTTAGGCAGGTTGTGTGCATTTTTAGCAATATATGCAGTCAGGAAGACTGAGGGGGGGAAAGGTGGTGAAATATGATGTAAAATATGTTTCAGGTTGAGCTACATACTGTATCTGTTAAAAACCGTCAGTGCTGGAGCATTTTTATATTGTTTTTATTAATCAGATGGTCACTGTTGTGGGTAAAAGCCCAGGGATGATTTGAGGGTCAGAGTTGTAAACAGTCTCTGATGTTTTGAAAAGCCCTGCTGCAGATCATTTTCTGCCTGGTGAATGTGAAGCGGCTTACTGGGGAAAATGTCCTCCACAATTTCTAGCTTTTTTATTATATATTTTTTTTTAAATCTCCATTGTTTTTTGTTTTTTTTTGTCAGCAGTGAATTTTCCTTCTCTCCTGTACAAAACTACATTATGTGTGTTATCTTATTTCGTGGGAGACGGCACTCGCACTCGCAGAGCCTGCCTGTCTTCTACAGAGTTGTGTTAGTGTTAGGATGACTAAGGGCGGTTGTACTGGTTATAAAGGTAACTGAATGGGGTAGTAAGTAGTTCCAAAATTGCACAAGTTACTTTAGGAAACAGGCTAGAAAGAACCGCCCTGTACATGAATCATCAACTGCTGCAATCTGAGTCATTTAGGCTTCTCAGAAAGTGCTTTACAACAGGGTCAAAGGTCAAATACATGGTGTGAAAAGAGAACCTGTTTATTTGATATTTAATGTAAGATTAAATACATTTTTTTTCCTCTTTTTTTTTGCAGATTCTGAAGGCAGAGCTGATGCATCACTTAGATTCTCAGATGGAGGAGTTCGTGGACAGCGTGATGGAGGAAACCTCCAGTTTGGGCTCTTCTGCCTTAAACTCTCACTTCTCTCCGTTTCTCACAGACAAAGAGAGAGCCAAACTCAGGTACTCGCATCAGAAAATTCAACCGGATTCTGAAGTCTGTCCTCTGAAGTTACCCATCCCGTAATGTTAACTCCTATATTGTATTCAAGCATGACATCATAACAATAGCAGAACCCATTTTGGGACTCTATAGAACCATTTTTAAAGAAATATAAAGTATATAGAACAGTATACAACACATTCTCCATCAATCTGAAGAGCGGTTTCACCATGCCAAGAACCATTTGATCGTAGAGCGTGTATGAGTGTTTGTGGTTCCATATAGAACCACTGTCTTTACTAAAGACCCCTTGAAGAACCATCTTCTTTTAGAGTGTAGCCCCAAGTTTAACTCAGTTAGCCTAAGGTAAAGACCAGTTTATGAGGAGCCTGGCCTCTTTCTCTTTCCCCGTTATATCATAAACAGGACTGCAGAACCGTAGAGGGCGCCCATGAGTGAGTCCTCAATGAATGGGAGTGAATGGAGCTCAACGGCTAAAAACGAAAAGTTAAAATAGTTTCTAATCACTGAACCAGATCTTTCCTTTAATTCTAGACAGTTGAAGGATGAGTTTTACTAAAAAAGCAAAGAAAACTGACCTGTGTTTTTTCTACAGCAAGCGGGTTTTGGGCAGCAGAATGCTAACATTACTGGTACTGAGTGCTGATTGGTTGGTGAGCGGAGCAGCTCATTGGCTGTTTGCGCTCACTGACCTAATGAATGTACATGAGGCGCCGTTTTAAACTCCTATAAAAGAGTTTAAAAGCTCTTAAAATTATAACAGCAGTGTTAAGTGTTTTCTGCTGTTTTTATATTTATAATATTTAAGCATTTATAAACTATGATTTTGCTCAAATGCTCCATCTTAACCCATTCATTTTGGACTCGCTCGGGAGCGCCCTCTGGCGTTTGAGAAACCCGGAAGACATTGCAGGATAATTCTCCTCTCTGTAAGCTCTCTGGGTAAAGACACAGGTCTGCTCTGTTTAGTATTTTAATAGTGATCATTCAAAGATGTTTAACACTTAAATATGGAAAGTAACCTGCAGTATCTCTGTCTCTCTGTTTCTCTCTGCAGACATGCGAGACCTTCCCAAGGCCAGTGTAAGCAGTTCGTCATTCGCCGATCCTTACTGGAGTGAGTCTGTCACCAGCGTTTACAGCCTAACAGCACCTTGTAAACCACTGTGGACTTTACAGAGGAGTTTCTAGACCCCTTTATGGGGGGCTTTAGCTTCACTGTTATTCATCTCAGCCCCCCAGAAAATGTTATTCTTGCACAAATAGGAAAATTTTCAAATTCTTCTGATTTTATCGGTTTCTCTTCACTTCTGCTGCAGCGCTACAGCAGACTGTCCTTCAAGTTCTCCCCTTTATGAAGCTTTTCTTCATGCTCAGTAATCCCTCCTGCCCAAAGATGTGTTTGTTTACATCTCGACAGGGTTATTATAGTCCACTAAAACTCATTACAATAACAACGAGCAGTGAAACAATCATTAACTGTAACAAAAATAAAATCAACAGTTTTCAAAAACACTAAATCAGAACTATAAAAAATATATTCTCTATAAAAAAAAGAAAAGTTATTACTGAGGGAAAAAGTAGTAGGTAGAACAGGTCTTGTTCTAGACTGAGAATGATAGCTATTCCAAACTGAGAACAAGTTTGACAGGTATTGTTCTCAGTCTAGAATAGCTATCATTCTCAGTCTAGAACAGATAGAACAGCTATTCTAGACTGAGAACAATACCTATCATTCTCAGTCTAGAACAGATAGAACAGGTATTGTTCTCAGTCTAGTATAGCTATCATTCTCAGTCTAGAACAAGGAAAACTAGTATCGTTAGTCTAGAAAAAGTAGGACAGGTATTGTTCTCAGTCAAGAATAGCTGTCATTCTCAATCTAGAACACGTAGGACAGGTATTGTTCTCAGTCTAGAATAGCTATCATTCTCAGTCTAGAAACAGGTAGAACAGGTATGGTTCTCAGTCTAGAATAGCTATCATTCTCAGTGTAGAACAGGTAGAACAGGTATTGTTCTCAGTCTAGAATAGCTATCGTTCTCAGTCTAGAACAAGTTGGACAGGTATTGTTCTCAGTCTAGAATAGCTGCTGTTCTCAGTCTAGAACAAGTTGAACAGGTATTGTTCTCAGTCTAGAATAGAACATTCCCAGTCTGAAAGAGGTGTTGTTTTCAGTCTAGAACAGGCGTTGTTCTCAATCTGGAACAGGCTCTAAGTCTCTGGAAAAGACAGTAATGATATATAAATACCTCGATTACAATTAGTGGAGCCAGTATAAAAACATAATGTGTAATATGATTCCAGCCAAAGTTATCTGTGCTTAGTAACTCTGTGATGTTAGTGAATAAGAATATAAGGTAATAAATACATTGTTTACAGTTTTTCTTCACTTCCACAGTGAGCTGTTTGAAGTGAATCATATTCGTACCATTTACCACATGTTCATCGCACTGCTGATCCTCTTCATCCTCAGCACGCTGGTGGTGGACTTCATCGATGAGGGACGGTGAGTTACGATGTCATATTAGTGTTATTCCAAACCGCGCTTGGTTATAATAAATGTGTATATAACGATCAGGCATAACATTCTGACCACCTCCTTGTTTCTACGCTCATCGTCCATTTTATCAGCTCCACTTACTATATAGGTGCACTTTGTAGTTCTACAGTTACAGACTGTAGTCCATCTGTTTCTCTGATACTTTGTTAGCCCCCTTTTACCCTGTTCTTCTGTGGTCAGGACCCCCATGGACCCTCACAGAGCAGGTACTATTTGGGTGGTGGATCATTCTCAGCACTGCAGTAACACTGACGTGGTGGTGGTGTGTTAGTGTGTGCTGTGCTGGTACAAGTGGATCAGACACAGCAGTGCTGCTGGAGTTTTTAAACACTGTGTCCACTCACTGTCCACTCTATTAGACACTCCTACCTTGTCAGTCCACCTTGTAGATGTAAAGTCAGAGACAATAGCTCATCTGCTGCTGCACAGTTTGTATTGGTCATCCTCTAGTCCTTCATCAGTGGTCAGTGGACGCTGCCCACAGGACGCTGTTGGCTGGATATTTTTGCTTGGTGGACTATTCTCAGTGTGTTTAAAAACTCCACTCAGACCAGCGCAACACACACTAACACACCACCACCACGTCAGTGTTACTGCAGTGCTGAGAATGATCCACCACCCAAATAGTACCTGCTCTGTGAGGGTCCATGGGGGTCCTGACCACTGAAGAACAGGGTAAAAGGGGGCCAACAAAGTATGCAGAGAAACAGATGGACTACAGTCTGTAACTGTAGAACTACAAAGTGCACCTATATAGTAAGTGGAGCTGATAAAATGGACAATGAGCGTAGAAACAAGGAGGTGGTCATATGTTATGCCTGATCTATGTAAGATCTCAATGGTGTCTTTTTCAGACTCAACAACAGACAGAAATCTACATGATGTGATTGAAGGGTTTTGTTCCAAAATTAATTGACAACCTTAGAAATAGAAGTTTAAAAAAATGATTGCTTCACTTTTACATGATCAATGATCTATTTAACTTTAAATAAGTCTACAAATTATGATTCTGGGGTTAAGATTAGACTTCATATATTTAGAACCATGAGTTCTGTATAGAATTATTTGCATGCATAATTGGTTCCTTGCTTGGTGAAATGGTTCTTCAGATTGATAGAGAATGTGCTGTATACAGTTCTATAAAGTATCAAAACGGTTCTTCCGTTGTTACACTGTCAAGCTTGTAACCCTTTTTGGTGCTATAGAGAGACATTTTTAAAAGGGTTCTATGATGAACCATATACAACACATTCTCTATCAATCCAGAGAACCATTTCACCAGGCAAAGAAACATTTGAGCATGCAAATGGTTCTACATAGAACTCATGGTTCTAAATAGAACCATTCCCTTTACTAAAGAACCCTTATAGAGTCATCTTTTGTAAGAGTGTATAACTTCTCTTTGGTTTTAGTCTTTTGATGTTTTGTGTTGTTCCTGCCTCGTTTGCTTCATGTAAAGGTTCTATATGTTCTATCTGTTCTCTCTTTCTCAGGCTGGTGTTAGATTTTGACCTGCTGGTCTACGCGTTTGGACAGTTCCCCCTGGTGGTGGTCACGTGGATCTGCATGTTTATATCAGCGCTGGTTGTTCCGTATGTGCTGCTGCACTTGTGGGCCGTCGTGTACCCAACGTCACGCCACCGTTTGCTGTTTACTGCCCTGGTGGGCGTCCTGCTCCTGCTGTACCAGGGCCTGGGGCTCGGCTTCCTGCCCACCTACATCGTCCTGAGGAACGGCCTCCCGCCCGCCTCGTGCTTCATCCTCATCCTGGAACAGGTAAGATGTGTCACGTTAATACCTGAACAGGTGTCATTTCATACCAGAACAGGTGTCATTCGGGCATCTTTCTCACTTCAGAACAAGTATCGATCTCATTCTGGAAGAAAGGTTTTGATCTCAATCTAGAACAGGTATCATTTAATACCAGTACCAGACTGAGAATGATTCCTGTACAAGTGTTGTTCTCACTCTGGAGCAGTTGTTGTTGTTCACAATCTAGAACAGATATCATTCTTTGTCTAGAACAAGTAATATTCTCGCTCTGAAACAGGGAATGTTCTCAGTCCGAAACAGATATTATTTTAATACTAGAGTGGTTATTGTTCTCGGTCTAGAACTGGAAGAACAGGTCTTGTTCTCAGTCTAGAATAGCTATCATTCTCAGTCTGGAAGAGGTATCGTTCTTAGTCTAGCAGAGGTAGAACAGGTCTTGTTCTCAGTCTAGAATAGCTATCATTCTCAGTCTGGAAGAAATATGGTTCTTAGTCTAGAACAAGTAGGACAGGTATTGTTCTCAGTCTAGAATAGCTGTCATTCTCAGTCTAGAACAAGTAGGACAGGTATTGTTCTCGGTCTAGAATAGCTGTCATTCTCAGTCTAGAACAAGTAGGACAGGTATTGTTCTCAGTCTAGAATAGCTATTATTCTCAGTCTAGAACAAGTAGCACATGCATTGTTCTCAGTCTAGAATAGCTATTATTCTCAGTCTAGAACAAGTAGGACATGCATTGTTCTCAGTCTAGAATAGTTGTCGTTCTCAGTCTAGAACATCAATCATTCTCAATCTGGAAGAGGTATCATTCTCAGTGCAGAAGAGGTGGAACAGGTATTGTTCTCAGTCTAAAACAAGGAGAACGGGTATTGCTCTCAGTCTAGAATAGAACATTCCCAGTCTGGAAGAGGTATCATTTTCTGTCTAGAACATCTGGAACAGGCTCTAAGTCTAAGAAAATGGGCCTTGCAGTGTTCTGATCAGTTGAACACACTAAGAGGAGAGCGCTAAACAAGCTGTAATGTACTGTAAAGTGTAAGCACTGTAATATGCTGTGATTGGCTAGAACCCAGCTGTACATTCCCACCTTCTGCATCCTTGGCAATATCCTGGTCACAGCGAGCACTCGGACTCAACCCTGCGGGGCGTAGCTCTGCACTGCTTCTTCTGGACATGCTGTTTAAGCTTGAACTCTGTTTTTCAGGTGCGTCTGGTGATGAAGGTTCACTCCTTCATCAGAGAAAATGTGCCAAAATTCTGGTCTTCAGGGAGAGACGGAACCAGTAAGGACGGCATACGTAGCTTAGAATAGTTAAGCAGGCGGTTGTTGACCATCTGTGACCCCTCATGGTGTTTGTCTTTGATTTGCTCAGATTCGGTGGCCATTCCTCAGCTGACCCCTTACCTCTACTTCCTCTTCGCACCCACTCTGATCTACAGAGACAGCTACCCAAGGCAAGCCTCACTCACTGCTCTCCTGCTGGAGTTCATGCCTTATTTCATGTACTTCACTCTTAAGCCACGGTCACACTGGATGTCTGAAGTTTGCGTGGCCTTACAGAACGGCCGACTGGTCCGTAATTAAATCAGATCATTTTGTATTCATCACATCATAGTGCTGCACGCTGATCTGAACATATTCTCCAATTGGAGTAGGAAACCAACTAAATTTGGTTCGATGAGGAACAGTTCCCACCCAGAAAATGTCAGTTGGTGAAACAGCGCTTGACTTTAAATCTCTTTACCGCTGCAGAAAACATGTCTAAAACTAGTCTTTATACTTGGACACCTGTGTAAAGCTTTATCTTTATCTTTAAGTTCATACATACATTTTTCATAAAACCACCATAATAATAACACATGTTCATGGAACAACAAGTATAACCACGAGTTACAAGTGAATTTGTGAAATGGTTACTGATCTTGAAATCGCACCAAGAAAATCATGAAATTGTCTTCTTTATGATGCAAAACCTGCCCATTCTGTGTTAAAAGCATGCCAGAATAAAAGTCCTTTGTTGTCGGTCATGCTGCATGACAGGTAAAATCAGGGTTCCAAAAGTTTTGCATTGAGCTGAAAACTTTTAAAAGATTAATAATCAAAAGTTCTTTAAAGTATTTCATGCCAAACTAATTTATTTAGTATTTTACATGACTAAATTGCCCTTTTTAATCATTTTACTGAATATGCATATATGAAGGGATTATTTCGCCAGCTGACATTTCTAGTCCTAAAAGGCATAAATGCATGAAATTAAATTTATTTTTATGCACTGAAAATGTATTTACATAAAAGGAGGTGTTGTAGAACAGTGAGATGGTGTGACATGTTTTTATTAAATGATTTATGTAATAAAGACTCTCCAGATAGGTTTGAATCCATAATTCCTGTTTACTCAAAACGCAGTATCAAAATCACAAAAACCAGAATCAGCTTCAGAGACAGTCCAAAAAGTCAAAAAACAGAAAAGATCACAACACAGCAAAGATACCAAAGAGTCATAGAGTTCAGAAAATATGTGGTTGGCAGCCATGGGGTGACTCTGCTTAGTCAAGGAGCTTATGGTGCATCTGTGCTTAGTAAAGGAGCTGGCATGGCCAATGGCAAACTGGCTAACTCACCTACCAAAAACAGTGACCATGATTATATCAAACAATTATATATTTGCCACAGCACACACTGGTCTGTAGCAAAAAAGTGTAGATAACTGGTGTGGTCAGCAGCAGTGGCCAAGCTGGCCAAGTGCAGTCATCCCATTGCCACTGAACACATATGGACCCATATTCTCCATCTGGAGTGGGAAGCCACGTCACAAAGGTTGCAGGGCTTAAAAAGATGCTTAAAATATTGGGCACAGCTCCAAAAGTCAGTTTGTACATTTATACGGTTGACCTAAGATTAAGTAATACTTTTCCCTTATGATTTCTCAGATTTTTCTGTTTTTATCCTGTTTCATATTCGCTCTGCATCTGTAAAACACATCATCACAAAACCATTTTCAACATTTAAGTAAAAGTTTTAATATAAAACAATATTTAAGAGGTTGATGCTAAAATGATGCTAAAATGAGCCTTTGCTCCATTTCTGAGGTTCGGTGCTGCTTCTGAAGCCCCTTTAGAGGTCAGCATAGCCAAAGCAGTAAAGGTAGTGGTAGAAGATGCAATTTAGCTTGTCAAAGTTAACCAAAGTTGAACTCAGTGCGAATACCAGAAGTTTGCAACGCGAAATCGCTCATCACAGCGACTTACGTTAAAATGAACGTAGTTTCACTCGCTGATAAACACAAGTGTGACTGGACATTTAGACCCACCCTTTTGTGTCTTACTGTGACAAAACTGATGTGTTTCTCCTGTTTTAGAAACCCATGTGTTCGCTGGAGTTACGTAGCCACCAAGTTGTTACAGGTACGCTACAATGGAATGGGTGAGATATATTTTATAGAAACCAAATTTACAGCATTGTTGAACACATTTAACCCAACTAAATTTGGTTCGATGAGTTCCCACCCAGAAAATGTCAGTTGGTGAAACAGCACATTTCATAAAACACGCTTGACTGTAAATCTCTTTACCGCTGCAGAAAACGTGTCTAAAACTGGTCTTTATACTTGGACACCTGTGTAAAGCTTTATCTTTGAAGTTCATACATACATTTTTTAATAAAATCACCATAATAATAATATGTTAATGGAACAACAAGTGTAACCACGACTTACAGATGAATGAATGACCTTGACAGCGCACCAAGAAAATCATGAAATTGTCTTCTTTATGATCAAAACCTGTCCATTCTGTGTTAAAAGCGTGCCAGAATAAAAGTCCTTTGTTGTCGGTCATGCTACGTGACTGGTAAAATCAGGGTTCCAAAAGTTTTGCATTGAGCTGAAAACTTTTAAAAGATTAATAATCAAACGTTTTTTGAAGTATTTCATGCCAAACTAATTTATTTAGTATTTTACATGACTTAATTGCCCTTTTAAATCGTTTTACCAAATATGCATATATGAAGGGATTATTTCGCCATCTGACATTTCTAGTCCTAAAAGGCATAAATGCATGAAATTAAATTTATTTTTATGCACTGAAAATGTATTTACATAAAGGGAGGTGTTGTAGAACAGTGAGATGGCAGGGCATGTATTTATTAAATTATTTAATAAGAAAATATGGACAAAAACCACGTCATGTCAGCAACCATTAAATCTTAGATGAACATCATAGGGAAGATTTACTTATTTATTTACTTATGTTTTATTTATTTATTTTTTGTAAAAACCAGCAGTCCCATGTGACCAAACTACAAGATTTATAGGGATAAATAAAGCTACCAAACTTTTTGCCACATGGATTGATTTTAAAAATGTTTTCATATTTGCTAGAAGAGCTGTTGGACTGAAGCAACTTAAAAATTTCAGAGATGGAGATTAAAGGACTAATGTGTAAATAACTACAGAGTGAAAAGTGATGCTGAGATCAGCTTGTTTAACATGTTGTGTTGGTTCTGCAGGTTCTCGGGTGTCTGTTTTATGCGTACTACGTGTTTGTGCGGCTGTGCATCCCTCAGTTCCGCAGCCTGCAGCTGTTCGACCTCAGGGTCATGGTGCTCTGCGTCTTCAACTCCATCCTGCCAGGTACACCATCATGGGGTGTTGGTGACTAGGGGATAAGAGCTGAGGCCCCCTGTACAGGGCTGTTAGCTAATCATGCAGTCACATCATTCGCGATCACTTCACCATGAGCACCAGTAGAACCTTTTCAGCATCTGCCGTGCTGCCGCCTAACAGAACAACCCAGATAGCAAATGAGTGATGGCCCAGTTCTGGCCCACACTTGCTGCTTTCATCAGTCCCACATGCCACCGTGGATAGGCCCTTTTCACAAGAAGCGGAAGTGTGTAAACGCTGGGTAAAACAGGTTCCGCTATTGCTTTATGGACAGTTATTAACCTCAGAAATACAGGCGTTCGTATTACTTCAGCTCAACACAGAAAGGTGTGTCACTTTGGCTACGTTCACATTACAAGCCTTGTTGCTCAAATCCGATTTTTTGCTCAAATCCGATCTCTCTGACATGATGGTTCACACTCGTTTAGGTAAGTGACTCAAATCCGTCATTAATGTGACGAACCGGCGTCCTGAAATGACCCTCATGACCACATCCTACTCAGTAACGTCACGTGAATGAATCACGTGCATCATCAGCACAAACTAACGAGCAGAACGAGCTTCGCTGAGAAGATCATTAACTCTGATCAGCTCTCAGCTTCATTATTAGAGCGAGACGAAGGAGAAAAAGGTGAGATGAGCTGCTTTTCCACCGTTCACAGGCTTTAACTTCTGTTCGGCACTGTTGCCATGGTAACGCTGAATAATGGCGCACGCGCAGTGGAATTCTGATCTAAACGTTCCCATTAAGGTCACACGGCCACATATCAGATATGTATCTGATCTAGGACCACATATGAAAGTGGCTCAGGTCTGATTTGAAAAGATCAGATTTGTGTTCACACAGCTCTGAAAACATCAGATCTGAGTCACATTAGGGCAAAAAAATCGGATTTGTGCCACTTCAGCCTGGTAATGTGAACGTAGCCTTTATCTTTGTTATAGTTGCCAAGATTTGAATTCGAGGATGCGTCCAGAACTGTTCGAGAAGCAAACACACAACAACGTGCGAGTCCAAACTAAATAAAGGATATAAATGATTTATGGAAACATTCCTTCAAGCTGTCAGAGTACAGTAATGTCAGCTAACGTCTACAGAGAGATAAATCGATGGGTGGTGAAAATAACTATAACTACAACGCTACGTAAGCCAGGTTAGCTGGAGATGTTGAAACAGCTCGCTAACAATAAACTAGTTGGCAAAAAGCTGTACACGCGTACATGCCAGCAGGGGGCGTGCTGGGTTGTCAGGGTCCGTAAAGCCACTGTGGATGTTTTACACAAACACCGCCTCCAGTGAACGAACATCTGCTCCCCGCTGAGCTCTCGCTCTCTCAGATACCGACAGCTTTCGAGGGAGAAAATGAAAACTGTTCTTTTGAAAGCCAGTTTGAATTCAATTACAAATTACATCGATCAGGCATAACATTATGACCACCACCTACCTTGTCAGTCCACCTTGTAGATGTAAAGTCAGAGACGATAGCTCATCTGCTGCTGCACAGTTTGTGTTGGTCATCCTCTAGTCCTTCATCAGTGGTCACAGGACGCTGCCCACAGGACGCTGTTGGCTTGATATTTTTGGTTGGTGAACTATTCTCAGTCCAGCAGCGACACTGAGGTGTTTAAAAACTCCAGCAGCACTGCTGTGTCTGATCCATTTAGACCAGCACAACACACACTAACACACCATCACCACGTCAGTGTTACTGCAGTGCTGAGAATGACCCACCACCCAAATAGTACCTGCTCTGTGAGGGTCCATGGGGGTCCTGACCACTGAAGAACGGGGTAAAAGGGGGCTAACAAAGTATCAGAGAAACAGATGGACTACAGTCTGTAACTGTAGAACTACAAAGTGCACCTATATAGTAAGTGGAGCTGATCAAATGGACAATGAGCGTAGAAACAAGGAGGTGGTCAGAATGTTATGCCTGATCGGTGTATATTTCGTAGTGTTCTTAGTATTGAGGCTGATTGTGTTGGACTATCTAATTTTTTCAGTTAACCAAAAAATGTTACGTAGGCCAATATGCCACCATATTCCTGCCAGAAGTGGCCCAGATCTGTTTTCGGCCAAATAAGCATGTTTTGATTGCATGCGTTTTGCACATGGCGCTGGTGGGCCAGCAATGCCATGATCCACATTCACATGCTACCTTGGAAACCCCAAAAATCACAACCTCTAGAATTTATAAGCTCTCCAGAAAAAAAGCCTAGTCATTTGAATATGGGTGTGTCTATAACACAAGCCCCACCCATTTTACTTTGATAGGCTGCACCCAGATTGAAATCGTTATACCTTTAAAGATCATTGACAGGGAATTAATAGTGTTATTTAGCTGTTCTGTTTGTGTTGTTGTGCAGGAGTGCTGGTCCTCTTCCTGGGTTTCTTTGCCTTTCTGCACTGTTGGCTCAACGCCTTCGCTGAAATGTTACGCTTTGGAGACAGAATGTTTTATAAGGTAAGTTAAAAAAGATGCCCTGAAAAAGTGCCTCTTCTTAATGTTTCCATTTTCAGATTATTATAGCTTTGAACATTTTAACATAAATTATTAGAGAGTTTAGAATAGCTGTGAGGTTTATTCTGATCTAACCAGACTGGCTTCTCAGCAGAATAGAAACACCAAACAAAATCTGCTTCATAATGGAACAAAATCAAAGTCAGATGTAGTGAGAAAAAACATCATCTCAGCTTAACAGCCACCAATAAGTTAGTCTGGGGCTAACGCGCTGGCCGCAATCTAAACCCGCCAATAAGTTAGCCTGGGGCTAACACGCTGGCCGCAACCTAAACCCGCCAATAAGTTAGCCTGGGGCTAACGCGCTGGCCGCAACCTAAACCCACCAATAAGTTAGCCTGGGGCTAACGCGCTGGCCGCAATCTAAACCCGCCAATAAGTTAGCCTGGGGCTAACGCGCTGGCCGCAACCTAAACCCGCCAATAAGTTAGCCTGGGGCTAACGCGCTGGCCGCAACCTAAACCCGCCAATAAGTTAGCCTGGGGCTAACGCGCTAGCCGTAACTAGTAAGTTAGTGTGTTGTTGCACCCTCTGGCTGTGGGTGCTGTGATGTGAACCCAGCTGAGGTGATGGTGCTGCTGTCTGTTTGGTTTCTGAAACACAGGACTGGTGGAATTCTACATCCTTTGCCAACTATTACCGCACTTGGAACGTCGTTGTCCACGACTGGCTGTATTACTATATCTATCGGGACTTTCTCTGGGTAAGTTTGCTTAAAATACGAAACTCTTCACGTTTTCTTGTGTTTAACGATTACTAATGATCTCTGAAGAGGTGTAGGTACTTCCTGTGTTTAAATGTATTTTTACCCAGCATGCCATTCAAATCTGAATTTTAGTCTTTTTTTCAAAGTGTTCCTCAATCACGCCGCCACCATTTTTGATAGGCAACTTGTTCATTCGGGAGCTCAGTGGCAGTTTGTTATAACAAAGCCAAAACTGATCCAGCACTGTTTTTCAAAATACTCAGTTTAAAAGTATTTTTAAAGTGTATTAACATGTTTCTTTGATTCTTTTAGAATTCAGTGAAATACACTATATGGACAAAAGTATTGGGACACCTACACATTACACCTACAGGAGCTTTTATGAATCCCATTCTAAATCCATAGGCATTAATATGGAGCTCGTCCCCCTTTGCAGCTGTAACAGCTTCCACTCTTCTGGGAAGCTTCTACAAGATGTTGGAGAGAGTCTGTGGGAATTTCTGCCCATTCATCCAGAAGAGCATTTGTGAGGTCAGACACTGATGTTGGACGAGAGGGCCTGGCTCACAATCTCCGTTCTAGTTCATCCCAAAGGTGTTGGATGGGGTTGAGGTCAGGGCTCTGTGAGGGCCAGTCAAGTTCTTCCACACCAAACTCACCCAGTCAGGCCTTTATGGAGCTGCTTTGTGCACTGGGGCTCAGTCATGCTTGGAAGTTGGAAGTGTGCAATTGTCAAATGTCTTGATCTGCTGAAGCGTTTAGATTCCCCTTCACTGGAACTAAGGGTTCTAGACCAACCCCTGAAAAACAGCCCCAGATCATCGTCCCTCCTCCACCAAACTTTACAGCTGGCACAGTGCAGTCAGGCAGGTAACGTTCTCCAAACCCAGACTCGTCCATCAGACTGGTAGAAAGAGAAGCTGATTCATCGCTCCACAGAACACGTTTCCACTGCTCCAGAGTCCAGTGGCGGCGCTTTACACCACTATTTTTTTTTCTCAAACTGACTTGTGGCAGAGGTGGCATCATATGACAGAGCCATGTTTAAAGTGACTGAGCTCATCAGTTCGACCCTCTACTGCCAGTGTTTGTCTATTGAGACTGCAAGGCTATGTGAGAAGTGGGTGTGGTTGAAACAGCTGGACTCAATAATTAAGAGGTGTGTCCCAGTACTTTTGTCTATATAGTGTATTTTATTTGATCTGTTGCTGAGGTGATGACAAATGAAAGCTGAAATCTAAACGGCTGATAATGAAATATGCAAAAAATAGTGCATATATCATTAGAAGTGCACTTTTTAGTGTGGTAGGTGAAATATAGAAGTGTGCGGTTCAGCCGTAACAGACGTGCTTTCGTCAGTTCTGCAGCTCCGGCGTCGGATTGTAGCTCTGCTGTGCTGCTCATTAAACACTTTCAAGAGAAAGTTTAAGGTGTTTCCTGATTAAAGATCAAATATTGAGTTAATTAATGCATTTAATGAGGTGAGCTGATCTTGGCTTCGTATTCTGAGCTTCTTGCTTGAAATTTGTTCTACTTAAGTCACCTCAGTGTAACTGCAGCACCATTTAAGGTGGAACGGAAAATTCAAATGAGGAGCTGGAGAATAAGACGACTTGTATGAGTGTATGAGTTTATTATTGAACAGCTTTGGCAACTTTGGTAGCCACTTTTATTAGTTTTTGGAGCATGTTATACAGATCCAGTCTACCAGTCTAGCTGATTTTCTCCTAGTTGCGTTTTCTGGAGACTGCCCCTAAAGTGTCCATGTTTTTCGTGGTCTTTCTGGTCTATTTTGCTTGGTCTTCATCCACCTGCAGGGTTGTAGCTGCAGCGACTGTGACGAGATGAGCTCTGTCAGAGCACAGTCTACTGAATCAGTAGACTAGTCTTCATTACAGCAGCGAATCTCTTTAGATGACTATTAGTTTTATTGTAATCAGTATTAACTGTCTTTTACACAGATGTCCCAGAAGCGTTTCCGAGCTGCTGCCATGTTTATCGTGTTTACTGTGTCTGCTGTAGTTCACGAGTACGTCCTGGCCATCTGCTTCGGCTTCTTTTACCCCGTCCTCTTCTGCCTCTTCATGTGCTTCGGAAGTAAGACTCAACTTTCTGTACCTACATTCAAGCCAAAGTGTGTTTAAACAGTAAAGTCTCTTTAATTTGGTGTGATGTGAGTCCACAGACTTACTGCTATGCCTAATTCCTAACTGAAGAGACTTTTAGTTTAGGAAGCCCATCAAGATGATTGTTTACAGAGTTTAAGATGTTAAAAATGAGTAAAATAAAAAGTACATTTTTGAAGTATAAACAGGAGTTAGTCTTTACAGATTGATATGGGAGCCCCTGTCTTGCTCGCTATAAAGGAAAAGTGAAATTTTGACTAGCAAGTGCTCTGAAATCGTTTGTCGACTGCAGTCAGTTAATGCTGAATAATCCGCTGTGGATCAACGTTAAAGTCAAATGTAATGGCTATTTTAGCTAAACTGCTGGACGTCCTTCTGGTGAGATGGACACAAACCTAGAGAACGTTTTCAGTTACCCTTTATTTGAAGGCTGCCTACAAAGAGGCTTCATAACACATGCACGAGCATTGAATAACATATTTATAAACCAATATGTGTGTTTATGTGAACAGCTTATACCAGTATTCTGCACACTTCAGTATTCTGTTCACTTTAGTATTTTGTACATTTCAGTACTCCGTACACATCAGTATTCCGTACACTTCAGTACTACATGCACTTCAGTATTCCGTAAACATCAGTATTCTGTACACAAGTATTCCGCACACTTTAGTATTTTATACATTTCAGTAATTTATAGACCTCAGTACTCCGTACACTTCAGTATTTGTTCACTTCAGTATTCCGCACACTTCAGTATTCCGCACACTTCAGTATTCCGCACATATCAGTATTCCGTACAGAAGTTCAGTTTGGGTATTTCCCCAGTATCTACTGAAATGGCAAAATAATGGTAAAATAAAAATAACAAGTTATACTGACCTAAAATTAAAAGTCTGTAGGTGAGCCAACATGGGCCCAATTTAAAGGCATGATATGTCAGAAACTACATCCCACCCACCCAGAGAGAGCGAGGCCAATTGTGCTCTCTTGGACTCCCGGCTACGGACGGCTGTAGCATCACCAGGGATCGAACTCGTGATCCCCTGATGAGGGTAGGCGCTTAGACGGTTGTGCAACTCGGCAGCCCCTATCATGTATTTTTTAAGGTAGTACAGTTTAACATAATATAACCACATCTTTGCCCACTTATTACCGGTCTGTAAATTAAAGTGCCACCGTTCCAGATTTCTGGAAGCTTTTACTGTTCGGACAGTGAGTAACATACAGTAGAGTAGTATAGAAATGTTTCAGAATTCAATTCAACTCCACTGAGAATCAGTTCACGTTACATTTGCAGAAAATTGCACTGCAAGTTTGCAAACTGCAACTGCAGCTTTGTTTGTTGTTTTAATTCTCCTGTCAACAAGTAAACGTTTCTGAACTCCACAGCAGCTTCTGTTTCCGAAATTACACATAAAATTTTATGCTGTTCTTAACCTGCAGTCTTCTCCTCTGTTATCCTTCTCTTCTTTCACCTCTCTCATCCTCACCGCGGCCTCAGTGCTGTTTAACTTCATCCTGCATGACCGGAGGAAGGGTCCAGTGTGGAACGTGATCATGTGGACGGCTCTGTTTCTGGGTCAGGGGGTTCTGATCTGCCTTTACTCTCAGGAATGGTACGCTCAGAGATACTGCCCCCTACAGGAGGTGAGCACTACTGCTTGAGTGTGGCTGTGTCTGTCTATAACAGCGTTACTCATGCACTGCTTATACACAGTCGAGTCACATTGTTATAACCACCAGCTAATATCAAGCTAATAGCCATTTGCATGGTTAAATGGTTCTTTGGATGGTGAAATCGTTCTTCAGACTGATGGAGAATGTGTGGTATATGGTTCTATATAGCACCAAAAAAGGGTTCTGTTGTTGTGCTGTTAAGCTTGTAACAATAGAAGAACGCTTTATGGTGCTATATATAGAGTTTTACCATGCAAAGAACCATTTAGGCATGCAAATGGTTCTTTGATTTTTCCTTGTTCTATATAGAACAATTGTCTTTACTAAAGAACCCTTAAATAACCATCTTTCAAGAGTGTGATTTATGCATAAATGGTTAAAACAAGCAACATAATAGTAAATTTAACTTCAAACGACAACATACAGTTAAATTGGCCAAACTAAAAATAGTTAACAATGACCACTAGGTGGCAGCACTTCACTTCACAAGTCCTCAAAGAGCAAATAACCTACAACTGCAAAGAAATTAGATTATTAGATTATGTTCTATATCACATATTTCATATATTTTGTACATGCAAAAACAACCTAATTTTGATTTTACATTTTATATATAGTTAAAACTTTGTGTTTTGTACATTGAAAATCTTTTTCTTAATTTATATTTAATTATAAATTAGTAAAGAATTGTAGTTTTACCAGTTCACAGTAATGATGTAATTACTGTATAATTCAGTGATTGAGGTGTGAACAGAGTCATTCAGAGTGGTTTGGTGTGAAATGGTTCAGATGTCTTTACAGTGGTGGTGATAGGAACCAGGGGTCGCCATGACTACAACACAAATATAGACATTTTTTGTGCATCAAAATCAAAACTACTTTTTAAGTTTTTTGTTTTTTTTTAGTTTATTTTATTTAGTTTCAGTGTTTGAAGCTGTGATCTGTTACAGTTGTTTGTTTTCTTTGTTTTGTTTAGCTATTTTCAGTATTTACATCTCTGCACTGCTCACTTCAATCAGTCAGTTCTTGGACACATGTTCTGATAATAAAACTGCCCTTTACATCATGTGACAATTTCAAAACGATTGGACCAATAGAAACGGCCCATTTATTGCTTACAATAAAATCTTGTTTCATTAACCTCCATTAGAAGTTAAAGCTTTTGTCGCCTTGGAAGGTCACTATTCTGAAAATATGAGATTTTTAATAATGAAAAAAAAAACAATATTTATGCATAATTTAGTCAATTTTATCAATTTTTCAGCAGCACCAAAATGGAACAGCACCCTCTTAAAAAATATGGTTCTTCAAGGGCTCTTTAGTAAAGACACTGGTTCTGTTTAGAACCATGAACACTCAAAGAATCACCCTTTGCATACTTACTTGGTTCTTTGCATGGTGAAATGGTTCTTCAGATTGATGGAGAATGTGTTGTATATGGTTCTTTAAAGCACCATAAGAGTTCTGCAGTTGTTTCTATGTCAAGCTTGTATACAACAGAAGAACCCTTTTTGGTGCTATATAGAACCATTTTCAAAAAGGTTCTATATGCAACCATTTTCTTTAGTAAAGAACCCTTGAAAAACAGTCTTTTTAAGTAAGTACAGCTCTAATTCAGGATGGAAAGCAATGGATTGACATTGACTCTTGATTAAAAGGTTCTATATAACACATTCTCTGTCAATCTGAAGAACCATTTCACCATGCAAAGAACCATTCAACCCTTTACTGCACAATGTTGCCTCAGGGCAACAAACTCATTTTCCTCATTTTTCAATAAAATTATACATATTTAAAGACAACAATAGGGTTAACTATAAAGGGAAGAGTTTGAGTAAGACAATAAAACGCATGTACTCATATTATCTCTTAGCGTACACATTTAAACCTCTTTTTCAATTAAGCAGTAGAACACAAGAGGGAGTGTGTTATCGCGAAATAACACCACGGCTGTGATTTGGTGGCAGGCACGAGCCGAAGGCGAGTAACATAGATAATCACAGCCGTGATGTTATTGGCGATAACACACTCCTCGAGTGTTCTATTGCTTTAATACAACAGTTAAATAAATAAAGTAATAAATTAATAAACTGGGCCGTGAACACGGCGTTTAATATGTTTTAATGTTCGCAGTTCCTTAACGAGCAGCTTGTTGCTACGTCAGAGTAATGAGCTCCGCCCACTCGCTGCACAGTCTGCTATAAGCCTCACCTTTTGAAGTGCAGACTGAGCCATAAAACTGCCACAATATCAAGTTCAGCTTAGTTTTGTCAGTTTTTGCCAGATCAGTATTAATGTTGTTTTGTTCCAGCCAGTCTGTAAAGCATCTTACAGCCCATTTAGTTTGGCGAATGGTGTTGGGTTCATTTCTGGCTGATTCCAGGTTGTTCAGCTGTTCTTCTGTCACAGCTGCCGACTGAAAAGCTGCTCAGTGGTGATGACAGTTTGGGAATTTAGTGTCGTCTCATCTTCAGAGTCTGACCAAATCGGCTGTCGGTCAAATGTGATCTTAAAAGTGTCCATTTTCTGTTTGTGGCAAAGTAAGAAGTAAAAACGTTCAAATGTCTTGAGCGTCTCCTACAGCTGTCAAAGTCGTTGCTTAGCAACGGCGTCTCAGCGGAGTGATACAGTGTTTGTGAAAAACGTGATGTTATGGTGAAATAACAGCAGAGTTAGAACGCTTCTCAACCAATCAGCTTGCGTGGCCGGAACTAACTGTTGTAGAACATTCAGTAGCAATACTTTTTGTTATGAGAATTTGCAGATATGTTTGTTGCCTAGAAGCAACATTGTGCGACAGTAGAATGGATTTAGCCAGTCACAAGCCAGGTCTCACCACTTCAGGGAACACAGCTCTGTATCATTTCTTCCCATTGTTACACAATGTTGCCTCAAGGCAACATATTCCAAAAGGACCTCTGCACACATTATTTCTTTGTTGTTTTTGAATTTAATAACAATAACAAATCAAGGACCAATTTATGCAAGAAAAGTGTTTGAATATATTTCAGAATGCAAATGGTTCTTTGAGTGTAGTTAATACATAAATGGTTGAAACAAGCAACAAAACACTAAATTTAACTTAAAACGTCAACATCCGGTTAAGTTGGCCGATTGCTTTTCCTCACGGTAGTTTAACGCACATCGTTGTGCTCGTTGGTTTGTGTTCAGAGCAGTTTTTGTGTTGTGTTAATGACGGCTGTATGAATCTGTATTATGTGTTCTTAACCCTGTTTGTTCTTTCTCAGCCTTCTTTCCTAGAGCTGCTGAAGCCGCGCTCCTGGACCTGTTATTTACGAGCCGGGCACGCCGCAGAGTCCGTCTGACCAGCACCGCGTCGCTGGCCGAGCTTCTTTTCCTGCTCTTACTCTTTTAACATTTTTCTTGCACTATGGTCATGTGACAATCTCAGATATTTTGATGTATGAACTAAGAAGTTTTATATATTAAGGCCTTAAACAGAGGCATTATTTATGGGTTTTAAAGAAATCGGTTAAAGACGCTCGGAGTGACTGAGCGTTTTAGAAGCCTGCACTATTTTAGCAGTAATTTCAGGAAGGTGAAGTCATAAAGGAGCAGCTCAACTCAGCATACAGGTGTGTATTTAGTTTCTGTGACCACTGCAGTGAGAGCTGCTTGATCTCAGTGATGCTGCTGCCTGATTGGCTGAGAAAGGACAATTTCACACTCAGAGGGGACACAGTGGCTGTGTTTCCATGCAGATTTTTGCCTGATTGAACACATTCCAAATATAGATTCAGACTGAGGTGTTTATTCTCACTCTACTCGTCAATCTGATGGAAAATCTCCGTTTACATGCTGACTACAAGTACTCCAATCCAAAATTACGCACATGCGTAGATTAGTGTAGACGTTACCAAGACAACCAGCATCATGTCCAGTCAGAGTGAGATGAGCAGCAGTGAGCAGTGCTTGTGTTTTTAATTACTTTAAAATGACGTCAGACTCAGGAAAACGTCCTTCACATGTCCTTATTAAAGAAGGCCGAGAGGAAGACGTCGTGTTCTGAGACACATAAGCTGGACGTCCGTCCCACCGCCGTCTTTTAAAGACCAGAGCAGGAACTTCGGCCCAGTCCCATTTCTTATTTTTACCCCCACCCCTTGTTGAGTTACAAGGGGTAGTGGTTGAACTCTTCCCTCTGAAATGGGACCCTCAAATAAAAAGAGCATCACTTCATTAACAGCTACCAGCGCTGCTCTGTAGGCGACCCTGCCAGTCTGCAGTGACAGCAGAGGAGAGTAAAGTTCAGCTCCTCACTGCTGGGCTTTAGTTACATTTAGGGCATCGTATGCCACCAAAGAGGGGGGCAATTATTTATTATCACCCACCCCTAATTCTTCAGTGATATAAAGCTGAATTCATTTTTTTTTCGCCAGCTTTTCATTCGAATGTTCCTGTTCCACCTTAAATGGAACAGCAGTTACATTCTGGCGATTCAAGCATCAGAACCGCTGAACTTTTTAAGGTGGAATGGGAAAGTTAGCTAGCTAGCTACCAAGATGTTAGCATAGTACTAGTGATTTTTTTTATGCTTGTTATGAAGAAAACGACCAAAATACACTGAAACGACATTAAACTAAGATAATACAGTGGTTATCGTAATTTCTAACTGAGAAAATTCTCACATTTGTGGGTTTCTTTGCTCTCTTGTTCTCCATCTTGCCAGTTTTTCTTTTTTTCTCATAACTCTCTGTTTGGAGTCTCTGAAAAACCTCCATCTCAACAAGAATCGGGACACCCTACCCCTAGACGTGAACGCACAAAACGGAGGACTAAGGGCTCAGTGGTAGGGGCGAGGGGTGAAATGGGATTGGGCCTAAATCTCCTCTGCAGACCAGTTTCTGCTCCGCCATGTTGAACAGTATAAACTTTCACTATGACGTGACGAACATGATCAGAACGGACTTAAACTTTCTGATAGGGAATGTAATCAGATACAGGCGTTTACACGGAAATTATTCTTCTATTTAACGGATTATTTACAGGATTACCCACCTCGATCAGTCGGATAGAAATTAGTCCATTCCAATTGAGCTATTAGTCAAATTATCAACGGATTATTAGGCTGCATGTAAACGTGGCTACTGTGGAAACGTGTGTCAAAGTGGTGTTTTAGCACTTTAAATCAAAGAGCCGGCTCTGGTGGTGTCCCAAAGATAGATACCAGGGGTGCACAAACTTTTTGTCTTGGGAGGACCAAGTATAGTGTCTGTGGAGGGGTTGAGGGCAAAAAGAGACAACAATATACAAATACAGAAAGTTTGATGGTTTTAAATAAAGGTTTTAAGATGTATTTTATAACATTACTTGATATTTTGTTACTAAGATACTTAAAAAGTACCATTTGTCAAAGACCGCACTGCAAAACATGGTATCTGACAAGTGAAATGATCTTAAATCTAGCTGGTATATCTAATATTCCTCATTTTGAGACTATTGTATTACTATAATAAGGTTATTTAACTTATTTCTAAGTATGTTTTAATGTTTTTAATGTTTAAAAGCACATTTCTTACAACAAGTAAAATAATCTGCCAATGTAGTGAGATAATTTGACTCACTGAAAACACTTAAATCAAGCACAAACATCTAGAAATAAGTTAAATGATCTTATAATAAGCTTACAATGGTCTCAGAATGAGATATTAGATATATGAACTAGATTTAAGATCAGTTCACTTGCTAAGATACCATGTTTTGCAGTGTAGCCTTCATTTTCCAGTCAAAACAGCCATTAAGTACAAGTTATTTGTACTTCAGCATCAGGAAAAAGGCAGAAAACGTATCTTTGACGGAAAATGACTCACAAGTAAATATAACAGCTAAATCTGATCTCAGCTGTGTGAGTCAGTGAGTCACTCTTTCCCTTTATTCCAGCCTCCATTCTTTTCAGGAGACTCACTTTCAGTTCCTCAAAGAATCTGCAGACACACCTCCAAAGTTCAGTCTTAGAAGCTGGTTGATCATTTTCTGAAGTAATCAAACACATTCAGTGGTGTTGAGGTCTGGACTCTGGGGTGGTCAGTCCATCGTTCAGCTTCTTTGTTTGATGTGTCCGTCTCCTTTTCTCAGTGAGGTTCTTCTTGATCAGCTACACATCCTTTCAGACCCACAGCGCTGAGTCGTCTTCTCACAGTGGAAGGATGGACAGAAACACCTGTGGATGTTTTCAGATCTGAAGCAGCTTGATTTTCTCCTCTCTCTCAGAGATGAAAGCTGTTTTTAATGTCCAGTTTTGGAAACTTGTTTTACTTTTATGCAAGTGGATTTTCTGATACATAATCTTATGAAAAATGAATACCTTGCACTTAATGGCTGTTTTGGCTGGAAATGAAATACATAGTCTCTTTATATACATATACATATATATATATGGCTGCTGTCAGAACAAAACCTTGTTTCTCCATTTTTGACATTTTTCAGTTTTTGACATAATCTGAAAATACCTGTTTTCCTTTACATTGTGTGTAAATTTCATGACGACTGGACTACAAGAAACGGCCCAAAATGACTTGGAAAGAAGTCTGGTTCCATTGACTTACATTAAAAGTAAAGTCTGTTTTTTCCCTTTTCCTGAAAAGTTACCATTTTGGAGACATGAGGTTTTGTTCCTGCAGCAGTGATGTGTATATATACAGACACAACACCAGCTGTATTGAGTGGATCAATACAAATAGTCCAAAATAACTTGTTACACTCAACGTTTCATTCTCCACGTTAAAATTTTGGAGGTTTTGTTCTGAAAGTAACTATATTTTATATATATTTCATGTATTATAGCTGTTTTTCCACACTGAAGTTGTTAGTGAGCCTCTCTGAGATACACTGAAGAAACCCGGTGCCATAGAAATGAATGTTATTGACTGTTTCATACAGATTGACATCTTGACACTTTAAAGTTTGTATGTTTGTATTTTAAGCAGCTTTCTGAGAAGAGAGTGAGACCGTTTTGTACTTCGCTTCTACTTGACAGGCACGTCTTTGTATTTTATTAGTACTATGATGACATTTTGAAGCTCCGTTGCTAAAAAACTGTATTTTTGATTGTAAGTTTGATGAAATGAGAGACTTTGCTGAAAATCCATTTCACTCTGTGATACAGAAACACATATTTTCACTGCCTCAGTGTTTTTGTATATATTTTTGGTATTACCTGTCCATGTATTTAATGGGCTTGATTATGTGTAGTTCTCATAATAAATCACAAGTACACATAAAATAAAAACCAGTCTAAATGTTTGAGTCGTGAGTGACTTTGTATGCAGTATTTTGATAAATGATTGTGTTCATATCTTTTCTGTTTAATCAGAACAGTTAAATATTAATTAGCTATGGTTATTATTATTATTAACACTCACGGTTAATAAGGAACCACTCTAAGAAAGTGGGTTCTTTGGTAAAGACAATGGTTCTATGTAGAACCATGAACACTCAAGGAACCATTTGCGTGCTTAAATGGTTCTTTGCATGGTGAAGTGGTTCTTCAGACTGATGGAAGGTGTGGTGTGTGTGGTTCTATATAGCACCAAAAAGAGTTTTGCTGTTGTTGCAATATCAAGCTTGTAACAACAGAGGAACCCTTTTTTGGTGCTATATAGAACCATTTTCAAAAAGGTTCCATATAGAACTGTATAAAACGCATTCTCCAACAATCTGAAGAATAGTTTCACCATGCAAAGAACCATTTAATCCTGCAAAAGGTTCCTCGAGTGTTCATGGTTCTATATAGAACCCTTGAAGAACCATTTTTTCAACTGTTGTTAATACATAAATGGTTAAAACAAGCAATATGATAGTACATTTAACTTAAAATGACAACATCTGGTTAAATTGGCCAAACTAAAAATAGTTAAGCAATAAACAATGAAAATATGTTATAATAATTACAAATAATTATTAATATATAAAAAGCTTACAACACTCTTTGGCTCTGAAGCACATTAATAACATCAAGAATGGGGCTGTGCAGGTCGTCTTTAGGGCCGGAGCTGGAACCATGTTGACCACTAGGTGGCAGCACTTCACTTCTGTGATTTAAGTCCTCAAAGAGCAAATAACCTACAATTGCAAAGAAATTAGATTATATTAGATTGTTCTATATCACATATTTCATATATTTTGTTCATGTAAAAACAGTCTAATTTCAGTACATTATAACTTGCTTTGTGTTTTGTATATAGAAAATATTTTTCTTAATTTGTATTTAATTATGATTTAGTAAAGAATTCCCAATTCACTGTAATAATCAAATTACTGCCTAATTCAGTGTGTGAGGTGTAAACAGAGTGATTCAGAGTGGTTTGGTGTGAAATGGTTCAAGTGTCTTTACAGTGGTGGTGATAGGAACCAGGGGTCGCCATGACTACAACACAGATATAGACATTTTATTTACTATCCAGAACCACCAGTGAACCTACACGAGTCTTCTGAGTTTATATGGAATGTTGATGATGGAAAATAGTGGAAAATCTGAAATAATAAGTTTACTTTGGGGACTATTTTGCCTCACAACACCCTGCATGTATCCCTCTGCTGTAAATGGATTTTAAAGATGTTTTAGGCCTAAAATCTTCTGAAAAACATTCATAAAAACAGAGTCTCAGTCATCAGGCAGTGAATTCATAACCATTTCATGTAGTAACTTTCTGTGAGGGAGCTTTTAGAGGTGGACGTCTGGTTCCTATCACCACCACTGTGAACAATTCTGACAGTGTTATTTTATCTAGAACAGAGCGTTTCACACCTCAAACCCCTCTGAACGACTGCTTGCAAATCAGTGGAGCTGCCCTTTAAATTAGATTATCATGCACACTTAAAAAAGCTGGTTCTTCAAGGGTTCTTATATAGCCAAGCATGTAACAACAGAAGAACCTTTTTAGTGCTGGGTCATTCTACAGAAACATCCATTTTTGTGTCCCTAGCCTTTACAGATATATTACACTTGAAAAAACATGTTCGGGTTACAATTTATTTATATTTTAAAATAAAACAATACATTATTTTATCAATTACACCTTCTTCAGCCTCAATTTAGCAATATTGGTTTTTAAATCAATCATATAGAATTCCAAGCACCACAGAAGAGCTCGTCCTCAGAGTCAGGTGTGAAGGCTGAGGCCATATTTACAGGTAAAAAACATGTTTTTCTGCCATTTTAACTACAATAATCTGTACATGACTATGGAATATATGAATAAAATGACACAAAGTAAACAAATAAATATTATAAAATATATAATGAAAGTCATTGTCCCCAGGAGTCGTGTCACTGGTGTTACTGCATAACAAAAAATCTCTTATTTTAAAATAAAAGTCACACTGATGACATCACTCGACTTCCTTTTACCTGTTTTCTGAGGATCTACGAAGAAAAGCACATGGTGAGTCCACTGAGTCTTTCAGTTATCAGAGATTTTCTCATTTAGCTCATGATTTCATATGAAGCTTTTAGCTGAAGTCACTGGTGTGACCGACTTTATTCTGAGGTAATTGTGAAAAAATAGAACACAGATGGATTAAATTCCATATTTTAGTGGATATTCCATGATTGACAACATGTGGTTTGATGCTCTGTAGCAGTTATTTAGTAAAATGCATTTTTCATTAAAAATGTCACTGGTGTTACCTTTCTTGACCCTGCTATCTATCTAGATATATATATGTATATCTAAAGAACCATTTAAGCATGCAAACGGTTATATATAGAAATTATTCTAAATAGAACCATCGCCTTTACTAAGGAGCTCTTGAAGAATCACCTTTTTTTAAGAGTGCAGGAAATCAGTTTGCAAGCAGAATGTCCAAAACCCTGTTTAAGAGTACTGAACATGTAAACTGAGAACATGTATGTGTGTAGATATCTTTGTTATATCTGGATGTTAGTCTCATTTTTCATCTTGAGGAAACATAATCGAGCTGACTTGGCTGAAACATAAGGAACATAGGCGGGAACATTGGGCCCTGGCGATATGGGGCTGTTTACTACTAATTTCAATGATAAAATAGAGAACCTGGGCTTAGCTACACTGTTAAAAAGCTCTTCAAGGGTTCTTTAGCAAAGAAAATGGTTCTATATAGAACCACGAACACTCATGCAAAGGGTTCTTTGCATCATGAAAGAGTTTTTCAAAAACTTTTATGATAAGTGTTCTATATAGAACTCAAAAGGGTTCTTCTATTGTTATGACGTCAAGCTTGTAACAATAGAAGAACCCGATTGGGTGCTATATAGAACTGTTTTCAAAAAGGTCCTATATAGAACCACCTGCAGCACGTTCTCCATCACTCGGAAGAACCATTTCACCATGCAAAGAGCCCTTTAATCATGCATCTCCTGTGTACAGCCCTCTTCAGGTCTACCCACAGATATTCAATGGGATTCAGGTCTGGGTTCTGGCTGGGCCTTTCCACAACTTTGATCTTCTTCTGGCGAAGCCGTTCTTTTGTTGATTTGGAGGTCTGAGGGTTTTGTGGCAGAACTGACTGATATTTGGAACAGTTCATAATTCCCTCCACCTTGACTAAAGCCCCAGTTCCAGCTGCAGAAAAACAGCCCCAAAGCATAATGCAGCCTCCACCATGCCTCACCTTGGGTATGGTGTTCCTTTGGTGATGCGCAGTGTTGGCTTTGCGCCAAGGTCCTATATAGAACCACCTGCAGCACATTCTCCATCACTCAGAAGAACCAATTTCACTATGCAGAGAACCCTTTATCATGCAATGGGTTCTTTGAGTGTTCATGGTTTTACATAGGACCATTTTCGTTACTAAAGAACCCTTGAAAAAACAAAGTGCATTTTAAGAGTGCATATCAGCTACAGTAGCTCCAGTGTTAAAACATCAGAAGCCAAGCTTATCTGGGCTGATCGACTAAGGTTTTGGTAAGAGAGGAGCTTTGCGTATGTTTGTTCTTTCACCAAACTATCACTGTAGCTCCGAAACACACCTTAGACCCGGTCTGTCCGCCGCTACCGCAACCAGAAACTGCACAACCCACTTCACTGATTTAACTGATGCAACTGTTGAGAAAGAAAACCTCAGAGAGTCAGAGAGGCCTTCAAAGCTGAGCCTTCAAACTGCAGCCCTCAGTCTGCGAACCATTCTCACAAGAAACGTCCGATAACTGCAGATACCAGCCTTTCATTTAAAATACTAATGAAAATAAGCTTGTAGACCTCGGCTCCTCCAGCGTTTCTCCTGAGATTAAGGTGTTAATAGTGAGTCTGTGCTGCAGTAACAGCCTCTACTCTTCTAGGAATGCTTTACACTAGATGTCGGAACATTGCTGTGAGGATTTGATTGAGCATTAGTGATGTTGGATGGTCAGTCCTGGATCTCCAACTCATCCCAAAAGGTATTGGATGGAGCTCCATCACTCCAGAGAACACAGTTCCACTGCTCCACAGCCCAGTGTTGGGAGGCTTTATACCCCTCTAGCCCACGCTTGGCATTGGGCATGGTGACCTCAGGCTCATGCTTGGCTGCTCCAAAGTGTCCCATTCTACTGGAGGTGTTTCTAATAAAGCAGCCAGGGAGAGTCTGTGGTGTTTTAATAAGTATTATGTTATTTTTGTCTCATTCCTTATTTTTACATATATATCATCACCGGATCTCCATATATCTAGCACAGCAGCTGTCTTTTTCTTGGAACAAAATCTTTCAATACTTAATACTTATGGAACTTACATATAGGTACTTATGTATAATCATACATATATACACCGATCAGGCATAACATTATAAACACATCCTTGTTTCTACCCTCATTGTCCATTTTATCAGCTCCACTTACTATATAGGTGCACTTTGTAGTTCTACAGTTACAGACTGTAGTCCATCTGTTTCTCTGATACTTTGTTAGCCCCCTTTTACCCTGTTCTTCAGTGGTCAGGACCCCCATGGACCCTCACAGAGCAGGTACTATTTGGGTGGTGGATCATTCTCAGCACTGCAGTAACACTGACGTGGTGGTGGTGTGTTAGTGTGTTGTGCTGGTCTGAGTGGATCAGACACAGCAGTGCTGCTGGAGTTTTTAAACACCTCAGTGTCACTGCTGGACTGAGAATAGTCCACCAACCAAAAATATCAAGCCAACAGCATCCTGTGGGCAGTGTCCTGTGGGCAGCGTCCTGTGACCACTGATGAAGGACTAGAGGATGACTAACACAAACTGTGTAGCAGCAGATGAGCTATCGTCTCTGACTTTACATCTACAAGGTGGGACTGACAAGGTAGGAGTGTCTAATAGAGTGGACAGTGAGTGTACAGCAGCACTGCTGTGTCTGATCCACTCGTACCAGCACAACACACACTAAAATACCACCACCACGTCAGTGTTACTGCAGTGCTGAGAATGATCCACCACCCAAATAGTACCTGCTCTGTGAGGGTCCATGGGGGTCCTGACCACAGAAGAACAGGGTAAAAGGGGGCTAACAAAGTATCAGAGAAACAGATGGACTACAGTCTGTAACTGTAGAACTACAAAGTGCACCTACATAGTAAGTGGAGCTGATAAAATGGACAATGAGCGTAGAAACAAGGAGGTGGTCATAATGTTATGCCTGATCGGTGTATATATATATAGAGAGAGAGAGAGAGAGAGAGAGAGAGCAGAGAGAGAGAGAGAGAGAGAGCACATATCATTACACACATCTCCCCAGTACACACTGCTGCGTGCGCGTGCATGTGTGTGTTAGCTCCGCCCCCTTCCCCTCCCCCGCGCGCTGTAAACACAATGACGCGTTGAACACACGCAGCTGAAATCCAGGCGCTTCAAAGCTTCACCTTTCATATGCAAGCTCACCAACACGGAGTGGAGAGGACGTTTATCCCGAGAAAGACGAGCAGAGTGGACCCCGACGGACAGATGGCCAGAAAGAGCGCCGTTCCTCCGTCCTACTACGGTGAGTGTGACACGCAGTGACCATTCAGCCCGCTGAGCTCGCGGTAATGAAGTTTCTCTCCGCTCAGTCCACAAAGACACCGACGCGTCCGCTTTGTGTCCGAGCGCCTCGGCCGGCGGTCACTCGCCGTCCTGTGGTCACCGTCTCACATTTTCCCGTTTTTCCTAGAGGTCACTGTTCGAGCTCGAGCAGCTGCTGCTGGTCGGAGGTAAACAATAGCGGCTCCTGCGTTTCTGCGCTGCTCGCTGCTGTGCGGGACTGACGGGACGCGGTTGTTTTTCTGCCATTTAAAGGGAAACAGCGCGTTTCAGCCCGAGCTGCGCGCGCTGCTCCGCTGCCTGGGGGGCTTTTCTTCTCCTCCAGCGGGGTCTTTGTGCTTTTACCCAACTGCAGATCCCACCAAGTGATCCGACCTACAACTTTAACCGGGTCCTCAGTGCCCTCGTGCCTTGCCTCGGCTTTGTTTTGCTTCGTTCTCTTGTTTTAATAAGGTTCTTCAGTAAAGGTGATGGTTCTGTTTGGAACCACGAATTCTGTGTAGAAGCAATTCATGCTTAACTGGTTCTTTGCATGGTGAAATAGTTCTTCAGATTGATTGGAGAATGTGTTGTATATGGTTCTGTATAGAACTTGTTTGAAAGTGGTTCTCTATAGCACCAAAAAGGGTTCTGCTGTTGTTGTGATGTTAAGCTTGTAACAATAGAAGAAGTTTTTTGGTGCTGTATAGAACCATTTCACAGTGAAATGGTTCTTCAGATAGATGGATAATGCATTGTATGTGGTTCTATATAGAACTTGTTTGAAAACAGTTCTCTATAGCACCAAAAAGGGTTCTGCTGTTATGATTTTGAGCTTGTAACAAGAGAAGAACCTTTTTGGTGCTGTATAGAACCATTTCACAGTGAAATGGTTCTTCAGATAGATGGATAATGCATTGTATGTGGTTCTATATAGAACTTGTTTGAAAACGGTTCTCTATAGCACCAAAAGGGTTCTGCTGTTGTTGTGATGTTAAGCTTGTAACAAGAGAAGAATGCTTTTTGGTGCTAGATAGAACCATTTCATGGTGAAATGGTTCTTCAAATTGATGGAGAATGTGTTGTACATGGTTCTATATACAACTTGTTTGAAAGTGGTTCTCTATAGCGTCAAAAGGGCTCTGCTGTTGTTGTGATGTTAAGCTTGTAACAATAGAAGAACCATTTTCAAAAATGTTCTATATAGAACAATATACAGCACATTCTCCATCAATCTGAAGAACTATTTTGCCATGGAATGGTTCTTTGAGTGTTCATGGTTCTATACAGAACCACTGTCTTTACTAAAGAACCCTTGAAGAAGCATTAGTGAGGTCAGGTACTGATGTTGGACGGTCAGCTCTGGATCATTAACTCATCCCAAAGGTATTGGATGGAGCTCCATCACTCCAGAGAACACAGCTCCACTGCTCCACAGCCCAGTGCTGGGGGGCTTTATACCCCTCTAGCCCACGCTTGGCCTTGGACATGGTGACCTTAGGCTCATGTTTGGCTGCTCCATAGTGTCCCATTCTACTGGTCAATGCTTTTCAATGGAGAAACACAAGCTGTGAATTGAGCTCCACCTTGAAGCAGCTGAATTCACTCCGTGTATTTCTCTCATGTTACGCAGTCTGGCTAATTATAAGAAGCAGCCTCGTTCCAAAGGACTGCAGCAGCCATCTGGCCACGCCAACGCAGCTGAAGCGTCCAAAATAGAGCCATCCTAGTGTGGGTTCCTACGGGCGAGAGGCTATTTTTGTTGTTTTCTTATTGTTTATTTATTTATTTGGCCTATTTGTTGCTGGTGTGAGAGTCAGAGCTCCTGCTTGGGAAAGGTTGAAGGACGTGAGTCACTCATTAGGGCAGTCGCTGATCACTTAAGAACAAAAGTTAAAGGTTCCCTTGACTTCTCTGGGCTCCCTCGAGGTTTCTGGTTTTACTGCAGACATGACTTTTGAAGTGTGAACTATACTGGGATGAAGGTGGAGACAGAACCCATAAAAACCCTTAAACATGATCCACACAGCTCATTATTTCTGCAGCTCAAACTAACCCGTCACGTTCCACCTTAAACAGTCCAGCAGTTCTGACGCCAGAAGCGCCAGGATGTAACTGCTGCTCCACTTAAGGTGGAACGAGAAAGCTGGCGAATATCTGACTTCAGCTTCATATCACTGAAGAATTAGGGGTGGGTGATAATAAATAATTGCCCCCGCTCTTTGAAGATCATATGATGCCCTAAATGTAACTAAAGCCCAGCAGTGAGGAGCTGAACTTTACCCTCCTCTGCTGTCACTGCAGACTGGCAGGGTCGCCTACAGAGCAGCGCTGGTAGCTGTTAATGAAGTGATGCTCTTTTTATTTGAGGGTCTCATTTCAGAGGGAAGAGTTCAACCACTACCCTGTAACTCAGTTCCAAGGGGTTAGGGTGACTCTCGAAAACAAGGGGTAGGGGTAAAAAGAAGAAATGGGACTGGGCCTAAGAAGCTCTTCAGCTCTATCTAATCTTTATCCACTATACGAGTCTCAGTTACAGTTAGCAAACCAGGGCTGTATCGCTTGGGGTGGGGAGGCTGGTTTAACCCCTAGATTACTTCAGATATACACTTTGATTTTGCATTTATGGCATTTTGGCAGACGCTCTTATCCAGAGCGACTTACAATTTGATCATTTCACACAGGTAGGTGAAGGTAGTGTTGGGAGTCTTGACCAGGGACTCTTATCGGTATAGTGTAGGGTGTTTACCCCGGCAGGGGATTGAACCCCAGTCTACAGCGTAGAAGGCAGAGGTGTTACCCACTACACAATACCAACCACATGTTTATAGTTTGTCTGAGGGATCTTGTGCCTGAGTTTATACAGTTGCTCACGGTATCCGGCCCAAATCTCTACGGGCCCATCAGGGGTTCTGCGGACTCTTCCAATCGCCCACTCCGGCATTGGACTGTTTTATTTTGCCCAGTCACCTCAGATGGAGGCATGAATTTTTACCCCTACCCCTTGTTTTCGAGTGTCTCTTTGCCCCTTGGAACTGAGTTACAGGGTAGTGGTTGAGATCTTCCCTCTGAAATGGGACCCTCAAATAAAAAGAGCATCACTTCATTAACAGCTACCAGCGCTGCTCTGTAGGCGACCCTGCCAGTCTGCAGTGACAGCAGAGGAGGGTAAAGTTCAGCTCCTCACTGCTGGGCTTTAGTTACATTTAGGGCATCACATGATCTTCAAAGAGGGGGGCAATTATTTATTATCACCCACCCCCAGCTGAAGTCAGATATTCACCAGCTTTTTGTCTGAATTTTCCCGTTCCACCTTAAATGGTGCAGCAGTTACATTCTGGCGCTTCAGGTGTCAGAACTGCTGGACTATTTAAGGTGGAACAGGAAAGTTAGCTAGCTAGCTCCGAGACATTAGCATGCTATTAGCGATTTTTTTTATGCTTGTTATGAAGAAAACGACCATAATACACTGAAACGACATTAAACTATGATAATATGATGGTTATCGTAATTTTTAACAGAGAAAATTCTCACATTTCTGTGTTTCTTTGATCTCTTCTCATATCACTCTGTTTGGAGTGTCTGAAAAAACTCTGTTTGGAGGGTCATGTAGCCCCAACACTTCGCCCTACCCCTCTATCTCAACAAGAATCAGGACACCCTACCCCTAGACGTGAACGCGCAATTCAGAGAGGTAGGGCTGAGTGGTGAAATGGGATTGGGCCTGAGTCAGTAAGGTGTCAAGGCCGGGACCTTTGATTTTTGATCATGTATGTTCATGTATTAGTATTAGTGCTCATGTGACCAGCATTCAGGAGATGTTTTACATGTTGCTGTTAACTTAGTCTCATTTAAAACCTCTTCGTTTATAAAATACAAAACCACAAAACTGAATGCTGTGTTAAGATGAGACTGATGAGAAGATGAGTCTTCACTCTTCAGTCAGACCTCTAAGCACTGAAAGATGTTTGAAATGGACCGAAATGAGCTGAAGAAGTGAATCAGATGTGTTTGACAGGTGGGCGTGGTGGAGGTTGATATGACACGCTATTAATAATCTCTACACTTTGTCATTCGTGATGCTTCACAGTTCCTTTTCCACTTTTTTCACATTTCCTGTGTGGAAGAGCAGCGTTTCTCGTTTAGTACAGGCTTCATCACTTATAAGTGAACAGCTGTATCCACTGGGTGGAGTTTATAATTAGCACTGTACCCACACGCCATGCTGAGGAAAGGGTGGAGTGGCTGGACTTTAGCCATAAAGACCAACAGGATGAAAGAAGAAATTGTTCTCATTGTTTAGAACAAAGTACTGGCATCACTTTGAGTCCTTGAGTGCTTTATTTATTATCAGTACAGATTGGAAAGACAAAGGAGGGGCAATATAACACAAATATCATGATACCTGAAGACAGGATGCACAATATGCATTATAATATTTATGTTTTTCTGAAATTTGATAAGAACTGGCACAATGCAGTAGCAAATGTTTAGAAATGCCATTGAAAACTATGAGTACAATGATTTTATTTAAAGTTTCATATCACTGCTGTCGGAACAAAACCTCGTATCTCCATTTATATCCGTCGTTTTTCAGTTTTTAACATAATTTGAAAATGTCTGTCGCTCTTTACATTGTGTGTAAATTTCATGATGAAAGGACCAACAGAAATTACCCAAAATGACTTGGAAAAAAGTCTGGTTCCACTGACTTACATTAAAGTAAAGTATGTTTTTCCTTCTCCTGTGAAGTTCTCATTTTGGAGATACGAGGTTTTGTTCCGACAGCAGCGATACGCTGTGCATCGTTGCATCCAATTAATCAGCATCATTGAGATTCAAAGTCGCAATTTCCCAATAATAGAGGGACATTTTAGACAGCTGTGCCACTCAGGAGCTCTGTTTAACTCTGTTTTTCACAGAACACACAGTTCTAGAAGTACTAACAGTACCCACAATATGCTAACAGACATGCAGTTTGTT